CAGGTTAGAATCCTGAATACAGCATCCCAGCTTTAAAAGCATTTACTGTTTCAAGGGGGATTCTCTTTGTACAGATGGATGTTTTCTGCCCTAGACACCACTGACAAATGATGACAGATAGAAAAACTTATATTAGAAATAAGCAAACACTATGACATCTTCAGGGTAATTTGAAATGAAAATATTCAGACCATTTGTAATAACTTACAGGTAAAATCATACACAAGAATATTATGAGCAAGGCTGCATTCAGTATTAATCACACAGAATAAGTACATATAGCTATCTTGTTGCTCCTGCCCTGGCATTCGATGGCATTTTGATGTACGTAACGTATGAACAGCAAATACGTAAAAGAACATCAATATATAGAAGAGGGATTATCAGAGTGATGTGCATGTGGCAAATAAAGAAGGGAACTCGAATTCTGAGAGAATGCAGGTAAAATATTGTCAAATAACATGAAAATTACAGCTTGATTGCTTATAATAAAGGAAAGTTTTACAGATGCTGAGGAGTTCTGTCAGACAGGCTGAGTTTCTGACGGTGCCTGTGAGACCAGGTTAGAGGGAGATGAAAGCTGTGAGGTGTGAGAGCACTTTTCTTCCTGCTTGTCAGTGCAACACCTTGGCTTTACAGCTTTAAGTCATCCACTCCCTATTTACTGAAATGTGATATAAATGGCCTAAATTTAGCTGAATGCTTCACTACTGTATAGTGATGTGAGGGTAATAAAACTAAAAATGAAGCTAGAAGTGAGAATCAATAGCCCAGGCTGACGTGCAAGGCCTCAGTGTGGGATGCCAAGCATAGATTTGAAACTCTTAGAGCTAAACAAGGCCAGTCCTGGGATGTCAGCATTCACACTCCTGAAGCCCTGAGTTCATGGATCTTGATTACACCCAGCGGGGTATCATTCTTAGTGATGAGAGGAAAAAAAACCTGAGGTCTGACTCTTCAATAGACTGTTACTGCTGTGAAGGTGGAGGGAAAGCTGCGTTTGTGCATATTTTACTTCTCTGTGCAAGGAAACTTCACCTGCTGACATCTTTCTATTTGTGCATTCCTATTCAGCAGCTCACAATGAAGATTTGCATTCTTTAAGGTGCCTTACAGATTGTTGCTTTACTGTTAGCTAATAATTGGGTTTACTTTAAAGTTCATGGCCGGTGTGTGGTTAGTCCCCACTGAGAAATAGCCACTTTGCTAAACACAAACCAATTAATTGAGCAATGAGTTATCAGACAATAGACGTTCTGATCTTCAGCTGTGTATGTGTAAAACATGTAGTGCAGCAAAATTAGGTGGCATGTGGCTAGAAGAAATTATTCTCTATAAGGGACTGTACGGTCAGATAAACTTGGTGTTGCCTTTGTTGCAGTGTGGAGACATCTCCTTTTTTAGTTGCACTTTGCTTTTTTAAGACACAAAAATGAAATTACATTTACATTACTGTGTAGTAATGTGGATTCCGAGCTCTCAGGCTTTCCTGCAGGTAATATGTTAAGGAAGGAGGCTCTAAGGGCTGGGAAATCTGGGTTTTTACAATTCAGCAACGCGTAATTCACTGCTTCACTGAGAAAGAGGTGGAATTTAGTTTTTCTTCGCCTGTGATTCATAGGAGCCTGTTGGTGAGAGTTCGTGCAAGCAAACTTACGTGCTGTGTGTATGTGCCGTATTGCTGGTGCTCACGTTGCCTTTTTCCCTACTTTATTTCTACGTCTGGGAGGGAGCCCTGAAAGTGGGAGAGTGACGGAGCAGTTTGATTTCAGCATCAGTGCCTCTGACCTTATTTATGGGATGCGTTTCCCACAGATCCCCTCCAAGTGCAAACTGTTCCCCATCACCCCTCACCCTAATCCCATCTGGGCTCCATCCACTCCCCCCCTTTTCTTTATAAACCTAAAAAGCTCGGCTGCATTCTCTCGTTGTTCTGCCTGTGCTCAGGCAGTCCGTGTACTAGCACCCTTTCTCTCAGACCTTCGCAACCTGGCTGCGGTTGCTGTAATGAATGTGTAAGTGACAAAAAGCAAAGCAGAGTGTAAAAGATGCTAATCAGCCTTTGTTCTTTTCAGACATGACATGCAGGACCTGAAGTATAGATTTTGTATGGCGAGAGATAGATTTTAATTAAGCATCTTAATAGAGAAATCCTTCTTGTTTTTTTCAGAATAAATTAAGGAAGTAACTTTGATGCAATATCATTTTCATCTAATCAGTAACATTCTGAAATTACCATGTTGTTTTCCATTAGAAATACCATCATCCAACAAATCAGATAAAATTATTTAACGTAGCTATATTGCAGCCTCAGCTAACATTAGCCTGGGCATGTGTATACACCAAACAGCAGCTGGTGAGTGAATTGACGAATGTTTATAGGGAGGAGAGGGCAGAGTATCCACAATTCTGTGTACTCCTTTGAGTAAGATGCCCATATCCGATCTAGAGTCACTAATAATCCAGCAAATGCTTACCAGGGTTTTGCCATCTGCATATAGAGAGTACTGATTACTAGCACCAATAAAAGACAAATGTCATTAGCTTTCACTTGTATTCACAGATTATTAATATCTCCATTAAAACATTTGACTTTATATTTGGCATGAGTTCAGAGGGGTTTGTTTGACGTAAACTGACACGTTGACAGAGTTCTCATACCATGGTGTTTGCCAGGTTTATAACATACAAAACAAAGTGCATGACCAGGAATCACCTTGCAAGGCTGCGACAGTAGTTATGATCTTAAGGTCCTTTCCAGCCCTCACCGTTCTATGGTTCAGTGAGTCTGGAAAATCGATGGAGTCGCTGCTGCCTGATGGTGTCTTTGATAAATGTGTGTGGTGGTTTTGAGTTTTACACAACTGTAGTTTCAAAGTTCATATTCATGACAGCCAGAGGCAGGCCGCAGTTTGCCCTGCACGTCCAAGCACTCGTAATTGTAATTAATATTTATTTTCTGTTATGATAGTGCCTTGAGGTGAAGTCAAGTGGGTGCTGTGGCTGCCCAAAGTGAGAGCATCACTGAGAAGGAATGGGCAACTGAGGCAGCTGGAGATCAAGTGGCTTACTCGATCGAGTGGCTTACTCAACAGCGTACAGAGAATTGTCGTGTCAGCTGGGAACTAAACACAGCTCATCTGAGCAGGCTCTTTGTAATGGAAGGAGTTTTCCCAAGAATAAGGCATTCCAAATTGAGGTGTAGGGAGTGTTACCTCTTGATCCTATCATTCAGTTCTGTCAAGGAGTCACATGAGGATCTGATTTAATAAAAAGGAAGCCTGAACTAATCACATGGCCCATTTTTTCTCCTACTGTAGAAACTGAGCGAAGGGCTTAGGGCATATGAATAGGCATGATAAGAGCATGGAACCTGCCCTCTCAGAACAGTCTTTCAGGATCACTGCAGTTGGATGAGCTTCCCTTAAAGCTCATCCAGTCCCAACCAAAAGATGGTACAAGTCAAGAATAGTTGAGGATTGCAGGACCTGGGTATTTCTAACACCCAGCAGCATGGGTTTCACTTCCTGCTGCCTCTCTTACTGTCACAGACCAAATTAGAGATGTTGTGCCTCAACAGGAGATGCCCCATTGCCAGCAGAGACTTTTAATGGTCCTCAGGCTCACATGCTGCTCTGGGAGCAACCTCTGAAGGCTACTGAAGATTTTGCAACATACTATTCCTATAGATAAAGATGTGTATCTCACCAGGAATTCATATTCAGTAGGCTTCCACGTTTTAGCACTGTGGTTTTCTCTTCTGGATATGCATTATCTCTTGTTCAGGTCCTTTTAGCTTTTCCAGATACCTTCTTGGTCTTGTGAGCTCTGGCAAGCAGATTGAGCAAATGTCCTTTGGATATGAGTTGGTAACTAGCTTGGGTCATGAGGAAAGTGGTCCTTGAGCAAGGAGCAGCCTAGCATCACAGATTGCTCCAGCCCTTCTCCTGGAATATCTCTGTTCAGCCACTTTGGAATCATGGAAGTACAGGTTCATTCCACTTCTAAGGCACTTAGAGATGCATTGGGTTTGACTCCCTCTCAAAGCTGGACCAACTGTGAAGTTTGACCAGGTTCCTTAAGGTTATGCTGCAAGATGCCAGGGGAGCGTAAGTGATCGGTGATTTTGATGCAAAGACCGTACTTAGAGTTGTGAGATGAACTTAGATGAAGTTCTGTAGCCCGAGGTGGAGAGTGCTCAGCATGGATAACAAGCTCCCAGTCTTCCTCATGGTCTGTCAGTGGGATTAGCCATCTCCTCTGTCAAATTTTGTGTAAAAGGAAGACTTCTGGCTAAGATAAGATCATCTACAGAGCGACTCACTTGACAGTCCTAGTTCATTTCCTGCTTTGGCTGATATCACAGAGGTCATCTCCACAGAACTCTCCTCCTAAGAGGCCTTCCTGCATTTCTAAGCTCATACACCTTCCTAAGGCTCTGTTTTCCTCACCTGCAAGTTTAGGCCATTTTTATTCCCTCTAACTTGGCTCCAGCACTCCCAACAGCCATTTGGGGTATTTTGTGCTTCCCTTTTATGAACACTGTGCTCAAGCAGTATATGGCTAGCAAGCACACAGCTTTTGCAGGCCATCATGTTCTTTATTTTCTGAATGTGGTTCGTTTAGAGGCGCTTTAAGGAAACATTTTCCTGCAGGTTGCTTGTGAAAGGGGATCGCTTTGGGTTGGTTCTTTATATTCAGCTTATCCTGACTTTGACATGAAGTGCAAACAGACATTGATAATACATGGGAATGGTCAAAAGGAGCAATGAAAACTGCTTGCATATGCTTTTGGAAATGTGTTTTTGCTCTGAAAAGTAATTACCTGAATTTGACTTGGCTTCACGTAGCTCATCTCCTTGAGCGTCAGGGCTGCTGACATTACTGGAGTGGTTACTGGTGTCAGAATGATCTTCCTGGCTGTTCTCTGAGAGACTGAATTATACTGGAGATTTTATGCATCATCAGGAGATTATTTCCCCTGTAAATTCTAATTGCAGGAATACCTCAAGCACTTCCGTGCCTTCTGGATATGGTTGACAGCATTGCACAAGTGTGACTGAGATCCTGAGGAGCAAGGGAAATGACTTGGATGCAGAAGTTTACCAAAACCAGAACTGGGAGAATTTTGATGGGGCAACAAATGGAGCAAAACTTTGGTGAATTTGGATGGAGAACGCTTTGGCGTCTGTTACAGGTAAGAATGCCCTGTAATATCCTATGGCTGGATGCACAGCGCACATCCATGCCCCTCAGACCCCATGCAGAATCCCAGGGACATACATTTGGCCACATTTTTTTCTTTATTTCAAAATTCGGGCATGATTTTGAATGGGCAAATGCAGGCTCAGGAGGATGAGGTTTGTCTTTTCAAAAATCAGAGGCTGTTAGAGGAGCTTCCTTTTCCCCTTGCAAACTGCCATCGGCTACCCCAGAATGGCGCTTGGCTTGGAAATGTATGACTTGAGTTGTAATTAGTGGTTAGGTTTGTATGTGGAAAGATGATATTCTCCTATTCTCTACTTTTCTGAAGGAAGAGAGGCCGATGGCCTCCTTAGAGCCAGTCCATCTCTAATCTACTCCCTATTTCCACTGTTGATGATCCTACCTTTACAAAAGAAAGATGCAGACTCAAATGATTGTCAGAAGACTGCAGGTATTGTGATTTGTGTAGGCTTCTCCTTCATCTCAGCCTCCTTCACTTGTCTAAAGAAAGTAAAATATGTGAATTTAGAAGCACTATGACACCAGCGTTCCCTCCCTATATTTAATATATTCTCCTCTTTTCATGGAATCAGAAATCTATGCTCAAAACCCCAGATTTTATTTAAGACTAACATGCAGCTAAGGGAATTTTATTACATAAGAAATAGTAACATTAAATATGGTCAGTGCTTACAATGGTGCTTTCTGCCTGAAGTAAGTGATAAAACTTACTGCGTGGATAGTATTAGAGTGAGGTGATCGGGCAGTGTGCTGCAGGATTTAGTGATGCTAATATCTGTTAAAAAAATACTTCTTTTGTTAGTCCTTCTCCACATACAGCTTCAAATCCTTCCATTGGAATCTTGCTGTGGAAGTAAACCTGCTTAAAAGAATTTCCTTCTGAGGCACAACGTGCCTTAAAATATAAGCAAAAGTCAACGTGCTAAACCAAAATTGATCAGCTCAGTGAACACACTCGTTTGCCTGGAACTGAAATGTGCAGTCTGAAAGAGCAAGGCTTGGGAACTGGAGATCCAGGAAAGGAGCAGACCTGCTAAAAGGAATAACATTTTGGTGCAACGAGCTCATTTGCCCAACAGCTTTCTACCTCAATTAACATACATGGGAAATGTGTGTATGGAGCGTGACAGGCTGCTCAAGTCACCCTCTCCTGAGAGTGGGATTATATAATCTGCAAGTGGCAGAGTTACACTGAGATTAAAGTACTGAATGTCTTGTTTCTCCAGGCTGCTGGCAGCGCTGCCTGCTCCTTGGCTCTGTACTTCACCCTGACTTGTGAATGATCCGCTTGGGCTCTGGTGTCCCTGAACTAACCAAGTGTCTGGGAGCCCCGTTCAGCTGCTCTTCGGAACAAAAGAGAGAGAACCTGAAGGAAATCCTGCTTGCACTGTGAAGCACTCTGAGTGCAGCCTGCCCGTTCAGGAGCGCACTGCAGAAAATGATGAGGGACAAGGTAAGGAACCACATCCTTTCCCTTCTTAGCTGGCAAAGAAAACCCTTTTCTTTGGTCAGCCCTGGCAGAAGCTCCATTTTAAACACCTTCCAAGAGTGACTGTGAAACCTCTAGAGACCACAGTATCTGTCACTTGGGGTTTTCTTCTTATGAGTCTGGGAAACTCCTTGAGACATCCCCATGCCTGGAAAACTTCAAAGTATTTATAAGAGAGCATAATGAGGCTTTAACTGTGAGGCACTGCACTTTGACGTGGGGAAGAGGCTGTTTCCATTCTTGCCAGAGGATTTGGTAGTCCCTGCATCTCGTTGGGACTGTCACCTGTTTCACTGGCCTTCTTTCAGCGTGGTCTGTGTAATATGGGACATGCAGATGGGAATATGGACAATATGGAAGAAGCTTTGTTTGCATCTAGAGCACAAAGAGAGCAAGCAAAGGGTTCATTTTTTAGTCCCGTTCTCTCCACGTTGTGGAATGCCTGAGTTGCTAACTGGTGTTGCCTGCTGCCCAGAGAGCACCAGGTCACCTCTCAGGGGGGCACGTTGTCTCTTCTACATGCTAAGCTTGCAGACTCTTCAGGCTACAGCACCCGGATTTCCCTCAGGTGTGCTGAACATTTCAGGTGATGATTGACCGCTCTCCTTCATGTTTGTATGATTATTAGTCTCTTCTCTGTGTGCTATTCAGCGGACAGCAGTGCTCGTAAAAAGCAGATAGGAGCAAGTTGGGCTGCTGCCCCTGGTGAGTAGGGGAGAGGATGGGCTGATTGATGACCCTTGGCTGTTTTCTGATGTTGCAGTTGTTTTTTATGATGTCATTAGGAGGCTATAGTCACATTAAGGAATCCCTCATGACATCATAAAGGACTTGATATTTCGCTAATGTTATTTCAGCAGAGTGGAGCTCTGGCATTTTATAGTCTTTGCTTTCCCCATAGAATTAGGAGTTGTCTAACTACAACCTGGAAGAAATGCAAAAATAGTCAAATGCTGACTTCAAAAGTTATGGTTGAGGAATGCTAATGTATTTGGCTCTTTCAGAGCACACAGCACCTTTAGGTGGAATACATGATGTGTTTATAAAAGATGCCATCAGTGAATACAGATCCTCATGCAAAGGCAGAATCAGGCGTGCCTTCCACAAACACACAAAAAGTACTTTTCCTGGACACTTCTTGTAATAGTGTGAGTGATCAGTGGGCCCCAGGACAGCACTGTGTCACCATGTGGGCTTTGGCTTGAGAGGCCAAAGTCGTGGTGTAATGGTGAGATGGGGAAAACACTGCTACTGGAGCCAGGAGCTACCGTTTCCTAATATGGAGGGGAATGTTAAATCCTGTATTGAGCAGGGCTGCTATTTTGAACAGCTTGGTATAGGTGGAAAAAGCCCTGTGGGTATTGTTGCCAATTGTACTGTAAGAGGGGTATGCAAGCACCAAGGAGCTCAGCATCTTCACTGCAGTAACACAGACATCTCCCCAGCTAAAACTGCTGTTAGGTCAGGGCAGGAGACTGGGAAAGTAAGAAGGAGGGGGTTTGCATACCAAGAGAGAAATCAAATTACAGTCTGTGTTACTGCAGTATTAAGGGAGCCCTTTACATGGCTTTGTGCTGGTTTCTCCTGCTTTCCTTTGCTATGCATTCAACAGTATATAAATACTCTGTGTGGTACTTGATCTGTGTCTGGCACAGAGGCAGAGCAGGACCCAGTCGTGCTCTGCCTGTCCAGCCTTCCTTTCCCTTCAGAGTTTGCAAAAGGTGCACTATTTGTCTTTAAACAACATAATCTGTTACCAGGTGAATGTGCAATTTTGAAACAAAGCTCCATTTGGAGACTGGAAACACCTTTCAGTAGAACAGTATCTCTGATGATGCATCATTTATCCTTTCCATTTCAATGCCCTGGCCTCAACATCTAGTATTGCAGCAGGTGTTTTCTTCTGCTGCTTGGAAAGAAAAATATTCTTCTGTTTCTGAAGAGGTTACTGTCACTGACATTAATAGAGCTGTTATTAAATGATATACACCATGTATAAGATTTGTCCTTTTTAACATGCTTGACATAAGAATCTCAGTGAGAGACCCTGGTGTAGCAGCTGCATTTCAAGAGGACTTCAGAAAAGAACTGTAAGGAGACCTTAACCTGCCCTAGCTGAGAGGGAAGTGGAATGGGACTGAGGAGTAAATATGTCAGCAGGCTCTGAAACATGTTGTGACGTGTTCAGAGGATGATGTTTGACCAGTTCCTGTCAATGAGCTGGTCCTTTCAATAAAATTATAGGATATTATACAACTTCTAATTTTGTGTTGGATTTGTGCAGCCAAGCAAAAAGCTGCATAAAAAGGCCCTCTAGATACCAGTGGACAAAAAAAACCCTGTTGTTTCTACTAGTTTTCAAACCCTTCAATATGTTCCTGCATAAGAGGCTTTTTGGGCTGTTTGCAAAGTCTTTGTGCAAGTGAATTCAGATCAGGTACCTCATCGTAAGCGTTCCTTGTGGTACGAGATGTTACGCCACGTTTTCTTGAGGCACCCATGCCTGTGCCTTTGAGTCCTGTCCTTGGCTCTGAGGAGGGCAGGAGAGGCAGGTGAAGTGTATGCATCCCAGAAGCTTATCAGTAGCTGAAGCTACCTGAAATCTTGCTGAGGAGACTTCTTCCTTGTGATCCTGAAGCCATCTCCCTCTGGCAGTGCCAGGCTCATACTGATGCTGAGCCTGTGGCCTCTTGACAGTCATAACCCCCAAGGCAGCAGATTTTAATCCTTTTCAAGGGACAGAAACGTCTGAGAGCCTCTCATCTGCCATTACTCTGACTGCAGCTTGCATGGGATTGTGCATGATTTGATCCCAACTGGAGCTGCCGGGGAATGGTGCAGTCACCAGCTGACAACCTGCACTCCAGAGCCTGTCCCTGTTCTTCACTGTGTTGACACGAAACTCAGGCTTTGTATCAGAGGTTAAGGGGAATAGTGGACACTCCACACATGATGCAGTATCCTTCTCCTGTGGTCCATGACTAGCTGTGCCTGCTGGTAGGCTCTGTGTGTCTCAGGCATTGCTCACCACCCCTGCAGCTGTATTCTCAGTTGAAGCCAGTCCCCTCCGTGTGATATCACAGTCAGCTGCTGGGAACCTGCAGGTAGATCAGGACTTCAGATAGCAGGTGATGAGGAGCAGGGGACACAGAGCCCCCTGAGGAACACATGCTTCTGCTGTTGTGCATTAACAGTGTCACGTACCCTGAAGATGAATACAAAGGGAAGTCCTCAGAGGACATTCTGGCATCCAGCAATTCCCAGGGTCATTGGTGGCTTTGTGATTTCTTTTTTAATGTATAAATCACTGATTAAATATCTGTTTGCCAGGCTGCACCACCCTGGACATGCCTGGAGATGTCCCAAAGGAGGAGGTGGGAAAGGGGGAGAGTTGCCTGCAGCCTGGGATAGTTATCTGTTTGCTTTGAACAGAGCAACTGATCTACCTCTGGAGTTTTGCTTTCACACAAGTTCATCCAGTTCACCTACTTAGACTGCTCGTTATTAATAGAATCGTTAGCAGGTTCACTCCACAGCTTGTAGGGAAGGTGTGCACATGGGTGGCACCTGAAGACAGAAAGTATCTGATTATATCTAATACTTATTTGGCTCATCTTCCCAGGTGTGCTGTTCTCCAGATAATAAACCAGGCAGCTTCACAGAGGGAGGTACAGGCACACCCTAGCTGTGGGCTCCGGCTGTATTCCAGCATCAGCTAAGGAGTGGGGTACCCTTGCTGGTGAGGAGTTAGGGCTGTGCTTGCATATACAAGGCAACACAGACATGGACCTGCAGAAGTGTCACAGCTGAACCAATTTGTCACTAGCAGTAGGTCTTCAGAGGCAGCAGTGCTCTCAGGCAAGCGCTGACACAGAGCTGCTTTGTTGCCTGTGAACTCATCCCTCCCGTTGTGCATCCCTCATTGCCCATTTACACGTAAACTCATCATGGCAGGACTTGCTTCCTGGAGGTGCAGTGCAGGGAGATGTGGTTGCAGCATGGGTGTATTTGAATTTGCTTGACTCAGGTCAAGATGTGACCTGCGTGTTGGAGTACAGTGTCACTGAACAAAACCCGGGTGTGACGTGTGCATATGGGGAATGGATCATGCACACCCTTCGTGATGACAGGCTGCTCTGAGTCTTAGCACATACAAGGAGGAGGAGGAGGTCTGCCATGGACCGAAGGGCTGCAGGGTGAGCTCTCTGCTCTGTGATGTGTCCTGTGGCATCTGTGGTCTTACTCTAGCAATGAGGCTGAGCACCAAGAGGCCAGGTACAAGGTTTCAGCTGGATGCAGCTGAAGAAGAACTGAAAGGAAACAGAGGAAAGAAGGTGTCCTAAAACAGACTTCCCCACCTCTCTTGGTTGTGCTACCGTGGGTACATGGACTTCTTCAACTGGGTGCCACTTGCAACCTGCTACACTGCATCTAGAAATGAGCGTATAAGGGTGAGCAGTTCATTATTACTGAACGCTCCATTCTGCCCTCACATGCAGATAGGGATCTCGATTTAGTTGTTCAGCCATGGATGCCTTTGAACTCAGACCTAGCAGAGAGGCCTGAATCTTTTCCATCTGATTCATATCCAGAGCTTCTGCTATTTACTCAAGCCTCTCGGGTGGAGACATTGGGCTGGAGAGCTTGTGGGAACAACTCCCTTCAAGTTCTAGCTGCAATCTGAAAGCTGTGGTGTAGGAAGAAAAACAGGGTAACCAGCCTGGCTTCAAAGTGAGCTTTTCTTCTCCCCTGAGCAAGTGTAGTTCTGACCCCATTTAACACCAGCTCTCTCACACACAATAAAAGCTTGGTGCATGCAGTGTTTCAGGCTCATAGAAGAACTTCTCTGCCTGAGTGGAGCAGGTACATGTGTTTAATAAGCGCTTGCTTCAGTGCAGTTACAAGGGTGGCAAGGGATTTTTTCTTGCATCTGGACTGCCAGATTTTCGTGGCAGTCTTGCCATTTCCTGCAGCACTCTCTATAGCAGCATGTGCTTCATTCACTGCGTGACCCTTCAGCAAGTTAATGCTTCCAGATCTGCCTCAGAGTGAGCTGGAGACCTCTGGCCAGAGTAGCACTGGTTTAGCTCGACGAGATGGCTTCATTAGAATTTTCATTGCAAATTGAGTGCATGAAATAAGCTTGGCTTCCAGCCTGGTGACTTGTCTCAGTCACCTATTCTTTTAGCCTGTGCTCAGGATGAGCAAGAATGTCTTACTCAGTGGTAATCATGTGATCTTGGATTTTTAAACCTCACCTTTA